TCTCTTCTACAAATCCATTTATAGCAGCAGCCGTCTCCTCCGCCTTGCAAAAATCCGCGGTCACCGCATCACCCTTGAAGTTCAGGGAGATCTGACGGGCGAAGTGAGTAAACTGATCGTCACTAGCTAACGAGGATTCGACATAGATCCTGTTCGCAGTCTCGAGGTCTATTGGAGGCTCGGTTTCGAAGGGTGCAACGGCACCGCGCAGGGCAGGAAGGACAAGGGACGAGGCGAAAGAGAAATGCTGATCCATCTCTTCTCGTGTGGCCCCTCGTGCGCCCATCTGTGCCATTTTGAAGACGGTGAGAATGCTGAAGGGGGAGAAGACAAAGTTCAACCCCCCTTTTTCCGCCTTCTCCATGGCTATCGAGTTGTACAATGTAGAGGCCACCACGGCCATGTTTTCAGGACCCTGAGACGTGCCATCCGGAGTACCCATGCTCCATGCTGCACAACTAAAAAGACTTAATGCGAGAATATACGTACGCAGCATCTTCGTCTCTGCAGCTGGTCGCTCGCCGCGCACACTCCACCAACATGCAGGTCCGGGAACGACCAACGCGAAGCAAACTGTGGGAAGGGAGGCAAAAAAGAAGGAAAGTTGTACAATATGAGGATATGAACTAGTTTTAAGGGTCTGGATGTAAAACAAATTGAATTTAGCGTTCTTCTGGGATCTCTGCTAGTTATGTTTCTCATCAACATCGTGCCTCCAGAAGCGGCATCGACGGTCACCCCGGGCCCCGGTGCCGCGCAGCATCGTTAGTCTTTGTTTTCGAACTCTTATCATCAAGCAAATCAGTTTTAGCCATGTAAAAACAATTTTGTATTTGCATTCTCAAGGAACCGTCATCAACGCGTCGGAACGGTCGACAACCCAACCCAAGTATCTACAATCGACCACTGCAATACTGCCAGTCGTCGATGATGCGCTGAACTGGATAGCAGACTTAGAGTTTCCACTACAACTCATAGCCTAACCACTTCCCATTTCCTGTTGCAAGTACTAAACACTGCAGTGGCTCCTTAGCTAGGGCCTTTGTTTCCTCGTTTTCCCTACTGTCTGTTGGTACACATACAACGCGTGCAGTTTGTGGCTAAACAAGCATATGAACGCCTATCCACGCGCAAACCTATATATACATATACATGAATGAATGAATGAGTCTGATTAAAAGGCACAAGTCAATGGCTGGCGGCCCCCGAACAGCCCACAACAACCTCCAAATTTTTGAGTTGCACAACAGCAACGGGTAGTATTTTGCTCGAATTCCTCGAGTTCAGACTACGGCAGATAGCGTAAATCGATCATATTCTACCTCAATGCTCAGTCGTTTGCTCCTGCCGGGCTCCCGGAGAGCAAAACGTTGGGGAACAGGGTTCTAGTTATGCTGTCGAGCTGGAGAACCGATAAAAACTAAACTTAAGAACATCTGCAAAGTCGGTCTGCTTCCTTCACACCTGTGTATGGATGAGCTATTTACCTGTAGAGAAGAATTGGCATCACCTGCACCAGGCTAAGGGAGCTGTTATGAATCCAAGCCCAAGCAGCGCGAGAATCGTGCTGCCACTCTCAGTCGTCACGGCGGCTCCTCACATCCAAATGAAATTGCTGTTCAGCTCTGGGACCGAGAAGTGTGTGTTTTTCGGAGCGAGTATCTTTCGAAATCAGACCACCAGTTTTCTCATTAGGACTGGGAGAAGTGGCGGTCAAGTACTCCATGCAGTAATCCATACCTTTCATTCGTTCAGTGCGAATCATTGAGGCTGCGGATGGGGTTCGCTTTCCTTTGAAAGCTTCATTTTTAAAGTTTGGATCGTGAACCCCTTAAATGTCCACCTCTTGGACTTCAAATCGTTTGTCACGACAAGGAAGCTTCCAGTTTCATCAAGTTCCATCAATATAGCACTGCCGGTCTAAGCCATCCCGCGAAATTAAATACTTCTCGGAGTCATACTTGTTCAGAAAGCTAAGGAAGTGAAGTATATTGATTTCAAAGCCGTACATCTAAAGATGGTGAGCGTCATCGAAGTGGCGCTTTCAACTCCCTTCCAGAAGGAGAACCTTACAACAATTCAACCGAGATGTCAAATGATACTGAAGCAGCACTTTACGCCCGAAATCTCAAGAAAGATAATACTGCCGAAAGCTGGTTTGCAGGGTACAGCAAAGCTGGGCTGCAGTAGCAATATGAAACCATGCAAGTGAACATAGTCGTAGCCGCGTACGCTTGGAGGTCTGGAGTTAGGAGACTAACGGAACAGCAAAGGAAATATCATAAATAAAGCAAAACAATTCAAAATAAACATGGAAAACCGGCAGCAAGGAACAGCTCAAATCCGATGGGTTGCTGTGACAAAAGTTCTTGAAGAATACGACGTCTCGTAAATAGCGCGAATCGCCAGGTTCTACTCTCATTAAACGCTCCCTGAAAGGCGTTTACGGCTTTTGGGGGCTTAGGCTACGAGGGAAACGACTGTGATTCCCAAGCGATTTATGTAAGCGTCCTCGATCTTATCCAAGGACCACCGTGAGCTGCAGTACAGTCAAACGTACGAAGGATAGGAGCTTTACAAAAAAGACGTGGGGCTGGCGCGAGATGAAGCAGCCTAAAATGGGTTGCAGCGCACCTTGTTGCGACGTGTGCTGCGAAGAAGTCCCACATGCAAGAACAATCACCACCCTTGTGTTGCTTGCGCTATCACTGTACACAAGTGTTGAGCACTTGCTTAACCCTCCAAAGCAACTCTACGTGTAGGTATATATACATTTAAAAAGTGCGGACAGACAATGTTACAGCCGGGAAGCAAGGGGCACGAGGTGCAACGAGAGTCCTCGGTCTTCGACGATTTTCGGAGGCTGCAATATAATCGAGATACTTAAGATAAGAGCCTCCAAACAGCAGCTGGCCTCCTCACCAACAACCAGGCAGCCTGGGTCCGGCGCCCTAAGGGCCTGTGGCCGAGGCTCTATACGATTGTTAAGCGTATATTTGGGCATCGGTAACCGAGCGATTATTAAGCACTTACTTTGACCCTAGTGGCCAGTCTGCATACAAGTAGAAGTACACAGAAAACTCCACACAGCAACTGCTACACGCGGCGTGCTGTTTGCAGAGGAAGGAGGGGTGGCATATGTAGCTCTGGTGTTACATTTCTACGTTCCATGCAGACCGGATACTGAAAGCCAAGTGAGTGTGGGGGGTGTGACGGCGGGCCCTAGACCTAGGTGAGGACCCCCGTGAGTTGCAGTAGAGTCGAAATTGTTGGAATAGGAGTGTCCCCGAAGCACCTAACCTCCAATATAATCTACAGGAGCCATCGGAAGAGGGTCTGGTGCTTCTGCGTAGAGCGAACTGGCCTTCATGAATACACCTAGCTGCGAGGCGACTCCGCGCACCTACTTGATGCAAGCATACAACTGTTATACACATAACTCAGCCCTCATGAACTAACTCGAAGGCAGGCGGTAATACATATACTAACTTCTGCATACTTTGCTACCACACTGGATCCCTCTCGGTCATCATGGAAAACGAAACGCCGAAACTCCGTTATAGGAGACGTTGGTTGGCGACGTAAGCTGTAGGGTAGAAACCACTTCAGACCCCCATTTGTAAACTCTAAATCTTAATATAAATATCATCACTACTCAAATTAGTTAGACGTTCACCGCTCGCTACTACCGCTTGCAGCGGGGCCCCCGAGGGCCCGGCCGAAGGCACTGGGGGCCCCCCAGGACCCCCGGGCCCTTCGGCTTGTCTGGGGCAATTAGTTACCATCCTGTAATGCTACTTGGATTATTTCATTCCGTTTTTGTTCATGCTCTCGCTGAACCACAGGGGAAACGGCGGCTAAGGCACGCGTGATTCCCACGCAGGTGATGCGTGGAGGCTCTGGCTTCTCCTGCTGGAGAGTACGCCACTGTTAAGAGGCAAAGTTGTGGATAAAATGAACAAGACGGAATAAAAGAAGGGTCGAAACGCGGAATCAACTGCAGTTTGCCCTCTTTTCCGGAGCGGCCGCCTTTGCTCGGGACAATGGCCATGTAGTTTCTCTTCCCGTGCCTACAATATAACGCAAGGGCTCCACTGGGGTGTATAGGCACTTCGCTTTGTTTCTGTTATTCAACAGCATAGTGACAGCGTCGCTAAGGACTGCAAGTACCCCATTTAAACCCCAAACAGTAGGCCTTGAACCGTAAATGTCGTTCCCAGAGGTTTCCTCCTGGCTGCGGGAGGAACTGCAGCGCCGCGTTGGCGCTGCTACGCGCTCCCTTGTGGCAGCAGTTCAAGCAGCAGCAGATGCAGCCCCCAACTCTCACCAGCTGTCTCAAACGTTGCAGCAGGAGCTGCACTTTCCGCAGAAGGATGCGGACGCACTTGCTCCTGAGCTGTTTCGTCGCATGGCCGCAGCAGAAGCAGCAGCAGCAGAAGCAGCAAAAGCAGCAGCTGCCGCCGAAGAGGCCGCAGAAGAAGCAGAACGCGAAAGCAGGAAGAGGCCCAGAGACGAAGAGACAAATGGTTAGGCCATAATCCGTGGTGGTTCTTTTTCTACTCGAATGCTACAGCACTGCAGCAACCTGTAGAAGCAAGTTGTTGTAGCAGTTGGAGTCTGCTGCTGCATCTGCTTCTTGAGCTTTTCTTTATAGCTAGGGACCCACTTGTTATGCCTAACGACTGGGAGTTAGAATCATGCGCGTCTCCCTGCTTTCTAGCCGCAAGGCGCCAATTGTAATAGTTGGTTGTGTCTGTTTGCATGCAGCCCCGACGGAGGAGAGTTCGGATGCGGCAGAAGCCGCGGCTTTTGCAGCACGCCTGCGTGCGCGAGATGCTGCGTCGCAGAAGAAGGTAGGAGCTGCAGCAGAACGTCAACGGCAGCTAGATCGGGAAGCGGAGGAAGCAGCAGCAGCAGCAGCAGCAGCAGCGGAGCCTGTAAAGGAGTTGCGGACGGTGGAAGATGTGCTGCTGGAGGCGAAGAAGCGTCCGAACGAGAAGCTGAAAGATAATGAGGCGTACATGCAGCGGCTGCGAGAGGAGGCACGTCGTGCCTACCTTAAGAAGAGGGAGGGGGATCAGGTGCTGCTGCAGGAGAGGAAAGTCCAGGATAGGGAGTGGCTGTACAGCCAAGTTGGTGATAAGCTAACTGCTGAGGAGCGCAGGGCCCTTGAGCTGCGAAAGGAAACTCTTCAGCTGGCTAAGACGGCCATTCAAGAACGACAAGGCCGCGAGGAGATCGAGGGATATATCATGCCCGAGGCGTACGACGAAGATCTACAGGCTAGGCTGCGCGTGATGCACCAGCCCTATCAAGAGCCGAAGCAGCAGCTGACGGAGCAGCAACTGCTGGAGAAGCAGAAGACTCAGGCAGCCCTGGTCCGTTTCGGGGCTAAAGAAGGTAGAGAGCAGGCCCCCGCCTACAAGCTCGTCGATGAGACGGGAGCAGCAATTGAATTCGAAGCCAGAGAAATGCATGGTTCGTTAACTCCTGAGACAGATGCCAGCGCGCCAGCACCGGCTCAAGCCGCAGAGGCTGCCCAAAAGGCCAAGGGTCAGAGTCTGCAGGTCCGTCGCCGTGGCTCTCTCTTTCCTCTTCACGCATCCTCACTCGTTTTTCCTGTCTTCTTGCCTCTCTTCGTTCTTCTTGTCACGATTCTTGGCTCCTTTCACCCTTCGTCTGCTTCTCTGTCTGTCTGTCGGCCTCCATCAGTTCCCTTCTCTCGTGTATCTTGCTCTGGCGGCCCTCCTGCTGCTTGTCAGCTAGCTAGGTCATCGGCTGCGACGACGCATCTGTTTGTTGTTCTGTGCGTTTTGTACTGTTTGTGTACATGCTGACGCCGGAGTTGCTTGCACTCTTCTGTGGGGGGCTGTGCTGGGTTAAATTGTTGCTGCTGCTGCTGCTGCTGCTGGCGCAGGACCAGCGTCGGCTGCTCCCAGTGTACGCGTACCGAGAGGAATTTCTGCGGGCCGTGGCTAAATACCCCGTGCTCGTAGTTGTGGGGGAGACGGGATCGGGGAAGACAACGCAGCTGCCTCAGTTCTTGCGGGAGGTTGGATATGCCAAGGCAGGGATAGTGGGCTGTACGCAGCCGCGGCGCATTGCAGCGATGTCTGTTGCAGCGCGAGTTGCTCAGGAGGTCGGCTGCCGCCTAGGCTTGGAGGTGCGTTTCCCGCCCGCAACCATCAACCCTAAAGCCTACGCCCTGGCTCTTACATACGCATACACATGTCCACTGCGCAGTTCCCTTCCTGCTTGCAGAGGCAAGTGAATGCAGTCAGCCGGCTCGCTAGCTGGCTAGCTGCCTGCAGCTAGCCATAAAGTGTGTGTGGCATGTGTGGCTTAGGTGGGTTATTCTATCCGATTTGAGGACTGCACATGCGACAAGACGGAGCTGAAGTATATGACGGATGGGATGCTACTGCGGGAGTTCCTGACAGAGCCTGACCTTCAGTCTTATTCTGCTCTCATGATAGACGAGGCACACGAGCGCACATTACACACAGACGTCCTCTTCGCCCTTGTCAAGGACCTTTCCAGGTAGTCTTCGCAGCCTAGGACAGCAACACGACTGTGCTTATTGGGTACAGGGCATAGGGTTTAGGATATAGGCTTCTCCTGCTATCTGGAGAGAATGCGTCTACGATAGGGAGACTAATCAGCTAGTCAGTACAGCAGCAGAAGCACATGTGATTCCCGGTTGGGGCTTGTAGGAGACATGATGGAAAGTAAAAGAGGCTAGGAGAGGCAGCAGCTGTCGCTTGACTGCAAGGCTTTGGACCCTTCTCTGTTAATGAGAGGGACATTAAGGTCTTATACAATGCAAGCTTTGTCTCTCCTTCAGGTATCGCGAGGACTTCCGCCTGATTATATCGTCGGCAACGTTAGAAGCTGAGAAATTTTCGGTGTATTTCGATGATGCTCCAATATTTCGAATCCCGGGGAGGCGATACCCGGTGCAGATTTACTACACAAAGAGTCCCGAGGCCAACTTCTTAGATGCTGCTGTCGTCACTGCCCTGCAGCTCCATTTCACTCAGCCCCCTGGGGACATCCTGCTATTTCTACCGGGCCAGCAGGAAATCGATGAGGCCGTCGAGGAGATACAGAGACGGTCAGCCGACCCGCCACCTCTTGCATTAGATGACGGCCGTTCTAAGCCAGGATGCTTTGCTACGTGTGCTGTATCGCGTAGCTGGCTGCTCACGGCAACTTCTTTATGTAGTGCAGCTCCCCTTGAAACGTCTATCACCCGCCGTTTTTTCGTTTCTCTTGAACTGCCTCCCTTCGTGCTCGTTGCAGCAGTTACTCCTGCTGCTGCAACGCGGTTTTGGTTGCTTAGACTGGAGTCAAGGAAAAGAGCATAGCGACGATGGCCTTCTTGATTTGCTAAGGGGAGGCCGAAGGTGTTTGCTTCTGCGTTGTGTGTATCGTGTTGCTGCAGCTTGAAGGGCCGCGGGACGGAGGCTGCGGAGTTGATTGTGTTGCCCCTGTATTCTTCTCTCCCAGGGGATCAGCAGGCACGGGTATTTGAACCGACCCCACCCGGGGCCCGTAAGGCCGTCTTCGCCACCAACATCGCTGAGACCTCGATCACCCTCGAGGGAGTTGTCTACGTGGTGGACTGCGGCTTCTGCAGAGAAAACCAATACAGTGCCAAGACAGGTGAGCATCCCTGCTTGCGTGCTCGATGAGACAACCGCTGAGTCAACATTCAGTAGTACAGATGCATGGAAAAGGGCGTGCACGGCTAGCGAGAGGAGCATGCGAGCACGGAAAGAACTGGACACAAGGAGGAGAAAAATATAGAAAACCCAAACATCTCGAAAAGAGCCATGTGATAACTTGATGACTGGGGCAGTTAGTTGCGTAAGGGGCTGTATGGAGCCCCCACGCATTTTATCTGTCAATATGGGGTTAGTTTGATCGGGATCGTTGTTTATGGATGCGATGCATGCATGCTTGGGTGCGTGAGTGTAGGGATGGACGCGCTGGTGACGGTGCCTTGCTCAAAGGCAGCAGCGAACCAGCGGTCTGGCCGTGCAGGGCGCGTACGTGCTGGACATTGTTTCCGTCTGTATACCCGGTACTCCTTCGAGAAGGAGATGGAAGATGCAAATGTCCCAGAAATTCAACGAGCCAACCTCAGTCATGTTGTACTCACCCTTAAAGGCCTTGGTATCGACGATCTTCTCAAATTCGACTTCATGGATCCGCCAGCTCCAGACGCCCTCATCAGCGCCTTGGAGCTCCTCTATGCTCTTGCCGCCCTCAACGATCAGGTGCCCCTAGCCCACCAAAGAACCAACCCTAAACCCTATCCTGTACAGGTTGCTTCGACAGTGGAAGCAATGGGCTTCACTGTAGCTCAGTTGATTGATGCAACGAATCGAAGATGTTGCAGAACTGTCTAGATCTGTGTGCGGGAGTGTTTTGAAAGGGGTCACCTGGTGTCTAGGGTTTCAGTTTCAGGGTTCGTATTTTGCTTTTTGAATGTTTTGCACTACCAAACATTAGAGCAAGCCTGTGATTGTGGCATGTTGCTTACTGCACTTCTCCATCTACCCTGTAGCGCGAGAAGAACAAAGGGCCTGAAGGAAGAGGCCTGGCGCTCGAACACTATCTACTGTAGCACACCCCGGCTTTTATTGTAACAATTAACGCTTTCAACTCCCTTTTGTGCTGCGCGGTGACTTAGGGGGAGCTCACAAAACTCGGCCGGCGGATGGCTGAATTCCCCTTAGACCCGATGTTCAGCAAGTTTATTGTGAACTCTGAGAAGTACGGCTGCGTCTCCGAGGCATTGACGGTTTGTGCAATGTTGGGCGTAGGCAACATGCTCTTCTACCGTCCCAAGGACAAAGCCATTCATGCAGACAACGCCAGAAAGACCTTCGCAAAGCCAGGCGGAGACCCCTTGACTCTCCTCAACGTTTATGAGCAGTGGCTAGATACAGGTCAGTTGCTGCTGCTGCTGCCCGCCTGCCGCTGTTGCTGCTGCATTAACTCGCGTTCCCCGCCAACCCGCCCTCACCCCTCAATGGCTTCCGTGCCCCTCACATCAGCTAACAAACTGTTCTGCGCAGCTAGCTTGATCCGCTTAGAAACTAACCAATCCACAACTGCCCAACTAGGGTCGTCATAAAATTCAACCGGAAACGTGGCGTTGCTAGTGTCTGGCGGCGGCTGCCCTTGAACATGTGTATACATACATATTGACGAGTGCATTTGTCCATGCAAAAAGATGCATGCATAAACGCATACGCCTGCATTATTTTTCAATGCATAAGTGGCCTGTGCTGTCGGCTGCAGGCTACTCGGTGGCTTGGTGCTACGAGAACTTTGTGCAGCATAGGTCAATGCAGCGGGCGCGAGACGTGCGGGAGCAGCTTCAGGGGCTTCTGGAGCGAGTGGAACTCGAAGAGAAATCCTGCGAGGGGGCTGATGAGCCCATCCGCAAAGCCGTAACCTCAGGCTTCTTTACTCAGGTAGGAGACGGGGTGGTACTCTAGCGGTTAGTTGTCAAATAAACGGAATAGAAGTGGAAGCACACCATTTTTTTCGCAATTACAATTCTGTAGTTTCATCGTTCTATTCACTCTCCGGGTACGACACGGTTCGTATTGTGTGCAGGCAGCGCGGTTGAACCGCCACGGCAGTTTCACTACGCTGAAGCATCCACATACGGTGGAAATTCACCCTCACTCTTCTTTGTTTGGCCAGTACCCGCGTTTCGTCGTGTACACGGAGCTCGCCCTGACAACCAAGGAGTACATGCGCAGTGTCTGCGAAGTCAAGCCCGAGTGGCTTGCCGAAGTCGCTCCCCACTTCTACAAACAACAGGAGCTGCAAGTCGGCAAAATGCCAAAGGCCCTTGGCAGACCCAAACAGGAAGATACGCCCCTGGGGGCCGCCACATAAGCAGCGCTTTGGCTGTTTCTTGTTTTTGGTGCTGCCTGCCCCGTACCACGGGCAGCCTACCTGTTTTAGCAGTTCAATACGGTGCAGAACAGCCGCTGATATCGGCTGCGCTCCAGCAGGTATCAGCGGCTTCCTTTCAAGCTCTCTGGACATTGAGCTTTGCCCCTAGTTTTGGCGTGACGCGCACATACGCGACGGAAAAAACAGTTGGATTTGCGGAGCGTTGACGGAAGCCTTTTCAATGCTAGATATGCTGCAGCCTCGTACTTATAGTGAGCCCACATTGAGGTGCTCTAGAACGTTCGTTACGCACTGCGTTTGCTGTACAGGTATGTATGTATGCAACCGCACCATACTTTCCCCTTAGAGCACAAACACTGCGTAACGAACTTTCGGTAGCACCTCAATATGGGCCCTAAGTGTCATGCTGCATATCCAGCATTGTCCATAATCTACAAGCTAAGCTGGCCTTCTATAGCACCTCAATATGCGCCCTAACTGTCATGCTGCATATCCAGCACTGTCCATAGTCTACAAGCTAAGCTGGCTTCCATGCGCAACTACCAAGAGCTGTAACTATCTATGCATGCTACTCAGTTAATAGAAAATATTTCCGTCCCTCTAGACTGGAATCCTAGTATTTGCTGGGTCGTTGGACCCTCGATACGTACTCATCACCAAGAAACAATGCTTCTCATGAAATGATACATATCCAGTGCGTTTCTTCGACGCAAAAGATGTAGAATTAGTTCCTACTTTGTGCGGAACATTCGAGAAGATTCTTCGGCCTGTTCATCTGTTGGACACTGCTCGGCCACAGAGGATACCGGAATCATTCTCTCGCTGCGGTGATGCTTTCTTGCGATCTGCGGTGCAATTCAAGGGCGAAACTCGAGAAAACTCTACCGGTATACTCACCTGTGGAAAAGTCTTTGACCACATAGAAATACCGGAGGTCCTCTCTCGCTGCGGATGCATCTAAAATCGAGGCTAAATGCCTAAAGGTTCTCGTATCTGAGCTGTCGCAATATTCCTTTATATGCGACTTCCCCGGAGACTGCGGCTCAGGGCCCCACGGCGCGATTCGCCGTTGGCTTCCTGGTGACCGCTTCTCTCCTGATGCTCAGCCGAATCGTTGTGACGAAGGTTTCCCCTTCCCTCCCGACTATCGGAGCTGTCTGAGTCCGAGGCGCTAGTAGCCCGAGATGACTCACGGCTGTCTTCAACGCCGGCGGACTCTGCTTGTTCGCGGGCGGCAACGGCGGCCTTACGGGCGGCTGCTGCTGCATGACGCAGCCGTGAGGCTGCTTCTCGTGCTTCCTTCGCTGCGAGTTCCAAGTCCTCAGCAAGCTGGGACTGGTCCTCGCTGTCCTCGTGCTGGTGCTCACGCTCTGCTTCGGCAGTGCTGGCTTCACTCTCAGAACTCTCGCCTACGGGCCTTTCGCCCTCACGATGCTCCTCCCTGCTGCCTTCAGGCTTGTCGGAGGGTCTGCTTGGGATGAGACCTGCGCCGCCTTCATGTCCCCTGCTTGGACGTCCTTCCTGTCTATCCCTTGGTTGGGATGACGCTGCCGGCCTCTGACCTCGGGCGGGCTTTCGCTCAGACCGGTCCTCCTGCTGAGGTCGGCGGCCTGCTGAGTCCTCTGCGCGTGTCCGCTCAGATCTCTGAGGAGGGCCACGACTAGGTCTGTCTTCAGGACCGTGTCCAGGTCTCTGCGGACGACCATTTTCAGGTCTATGGGGAGGACGACTAGGTCTGTCTTCAGGACCGTGACCAGGTCTCTGCGGACGACCATTTTCAGGTCTATGGGGAGGACGGCCATGTTCAGGTCCCTGGGGAGGACGACCATGCTCAGGTCTTTGGGGAGGACGACCATGTTCAGGTCTGTCTTCAGGTCTCTCTTCAGGTCTCTCTTCAGGTTTCTGAGGCGGACCATGTTCAGGTCTGTCGTCAGGTTTCTCTTCAGGTGTGTCTGGCTTTTCTCCCCCCTCCTCTGGCTTTTCTTCCCCCTCCTCTGGCTTTTCTTCTCCCTCCTCTGGCTTTTCTTCTCCCTCNGCTTTTCTTCTCCCTCCTCTGGCTTTTCTGCTCCCTCCTCTGGCTTTTCTTCTCCCTCCTCTGGCTTTTCGCCCTCCTCCTCTGGCTTTTCGCCCTCCTCCTCTGGCTTTTCACCCTCCTCCTCTGGCTTTTCACCCTCCTCCTTTGGCTTTTCACCCTCCTCCTTTGGCTTTTCGCTCTCCTCCTTTGGTTTTTCGCTCTCCTCCTTCGGCTTTTCGCTCTCCTCCTTTGGTTTTTCGCTCTCCTCCTTTGGCTTTTCTTCCTCCACTTTGGCGTCCTGGTTCACAGGTTTAACAACAGGCGGGGAACCAGGTCGGGCACTAGCAGCAGTACCGCCTTGGGGTTTGCGAACAGGCTTGGCCTCAGAACTGGCAACAGGCTTGGCTGAAGGCTTGTCAAGCGGCTTAGCATCAGGCTTGGCGGCAGGCTTGGCTTCCGGTTTCTCGCTCTCAGCTGGAGCTAATCTTCTTGCTACCCCCAGTCCTGGGATAGCCACTGGAGAATCTACATCAGAACTCTCATCTGATCCTAGTCCAGGGCTCGCCACTGGAGAGTCTAGGCTCGCCTCTGGTCCTAGTCCAGGGCTCGCCACTGGCCCCCCTCCATGCCCATGGGATCCATGCCCTCCACTGCCTGGTCGCCCTTGGAAATCATTCTCTGGGAAGCCTGCTGAAGGGCCGCCTGGTCCTTGATGGGAAGGGAACGATGGCTGCGGTCCACGGTGCGAATGGCCGCCTTCTGGATACGATGATCCAGGACCATAGCCACCATGACCACCACCATGACCACCACCATGACCACCATGACCACCAGGGCCACCAGGATAATAACCAGGATTCCTGTGGCTAACAGGGTAATGTCCAGGATGCATATGGGGAGGAGGGAGTGGCCCAGGACCTCTATGTCCAACAGGGTAGTATCCATGATACCCATGCCCATATGGAACAGGGTAACGTACAGGACGCCCATAATAGGGTTGAAGACGCCTAGGCTCAGCCTGAAGGGCTGGACCCACGGGCCTAAGCCTGCGCTGGGCTGCGGTGGACTCGCTCTCTCCGCCCGCAGGGCTTCCCGTCGATGAGGAATTGCTTCCAGGCTGCGCTATTTGAACAACAACGGGTGAACCTTCAGATGCTTCACCGGATTCGTCCTCATGTCTATTGGCGGACTGATCTTCACCAGCTTGACCTCCAGACTGCTCAGACTGATCTTCGGAATCTTCAGCTTGATCCTCGGAGTGTTCTGCAGATTGATCTTCACGCTTAGCTTCAGAGCTGCCTTCGGAGTTATCACCGTTCTCGGCAGAGTTGTTAGCATCGTCGTTCTCATCGGATTTGCTAGCATTGCTGTTCTCGAGGCTTTCAGAGCCGTCCGAGGCTTCCCGAGAGCTATCACCAGAGTCAGCAGAGCTGCCTTCTCTCCTCTCCGATCTTCTACTGCTGGTCTCCCGTCTATCATCAGATCCGTTGCCACCCCTGCTTCTGGACCGGCCAGTGGAACTGCTTTCAGACCTCTCAGACCTTTTTCTTTCCTCGCGTCTTGTTGCGTTCTGCTCATCATCTGCAGCTGCGCTCGCTGCGCTGTCATGAGACTCAGAGGCAGACCTCGCGACTTTTGCCGCCCGGAGAGCCTCTTCTGCAGCTTTCTCTAGAGCTTCCGCCGTAGCTTGCGCTCTGTCTGCTGCAGCCTCCAATTCCTCTGCAAGCTCGAGCTCATCATCCGCAAGCTCGGATTCGCTGCGAGCACTCCGCTCATCGGCTAGCTCGTCCTCAGAGGCATCTTCACGTCGGGACTCTGAATGATCTTCCGACTTGGCCTCTTCGTCAACGGGTCTCTCTTCTTCGCGGGCACCCTCGCTAGAGGCCTCTTCTTCTGCAGGTCGCTCTTCTTCGGGGCGACCCTCAGCGGAAGCTTCTTCGTCTACGGGTCGCTCCTCGTCGGAGTGGCCCTCACTAGTGGAGACATCCCCACCATCTGAGCTTGAACTTTCCTCAGTGCTGTCTGCTGTGTCAGCATCCGAGCCCTCCGAGGCATCTGAATCAGAAAGCGTATTATGGGCATCTTCAGTTACTTTTTCGAGAGCCTCAGCCTCCTCAATGGCGATCTCAGCAGCTCTAAACAGCTCTTCGGCATCCACGACTTCTTCTTCTGCTTCTTCAACGTCATCGCTGGAATCCAACTCAGATGTTTCCTCGCTGCTCACAGGCCTTTCTTCAGATGCAGACGCATCGCCAGACCCTGATTCAGGTTCGTCTTCGTCATCTGCCTCAGACGCATCACCATCGGTGCTGTCCTGTTCGCTAGACACTTCTTCCTCAGAGTCTGCCTCATCCTGCTGGTCTTGAGACTCTGCGCTTGCCTCACCGTCACCCCTAACCACGCGAGAGCTGTCGGAGCTAAAGGACGGGCTACGCTCTGCTTCTGGCCTTGAGCGCCACCACTTAATTTCGGAGTCGCTTGGCTGCCCCACAGATGAACCAACCTCCCCAGCGGATTCGGAGTTATCTATAGTCTCAGAAGAATCTGAAGGTGGTGGAGAGTAGGCTTGGGGGCGACTCGAACTGGAAATTGTTGAATCCTGCTCCAGAGTGCCGCTTGTAAGTCCCTCATCACTAGAGATAGTGCTGAATGCCGGACCACTGCTTGACGGCCCCCCCACTAAAACAGGGCTACCAGAGGATCCTCCACTCTGAATATCTGAAGCACTGCTTGAAGGCCCCGCCACAACTGGAATAGAGCTATCAGAAGATACTCCACTCTGAATATCTGAAGCACTGCTTGCAGGTACCTCTACGATAGGGAGAGAGCTGCTGGCAGACCCTTCATTCGACAACGAGCTTCCTGCTGAAGGTATTGCACTCTCACTTCCGCCAGAACTGCTCCGGAGGGACGGTTGACTTACAGAAGGTCTACTACTACTGCTAGAGCTAACAGAAATGAAGCTACCTAGTGGGGAGCTCTCCAGAGGCAGGGATGTTCCTGATGATACACTGTCTTCGGAAAGTGTGTCAGAGGAGACTATCTGAGACGAGGAGGCAGGTGAGCTAGCCACGTCTCCTGAGGAAGACCACGAAAATCTTGGGGGCCTTGGTGCTGCCTCGTTCGATGCGCTTTCCACTGCTGGCGAACTGAACACCCCGCCAACTGCTGACCCAGACGAGGTGGAAGCTACAGAGGAACGTGCGGGCTGTGATGACCCAGACTGTGTGAGGAATCCCACTGGATAGTCAATAGGCTTCTCATGTTCTAGAGTTGGCGCAGCGTTCGCAACGAACGGAAACAGACGACGGAGGGGACCCCCGGAGCCATCGAGGTCATCTGAGAAGCGCAATCACAATCCACACAGTAGCATGTAGCCCCGTTAGGTTAATGTTGGACAAGAGGGGTGAAACAAAAGAATGTAGAAGAAGACCCTTGGGCGTACTACTACGAAGACACTACGATCGCCTGCGCGTGGTTCACCAACCACGCACACGAGCGATCGTAATGTCGCAGTTTGCGATATCGTGTGGGGACAGCGCAATATATGCATGGAAAAGAGCGCAAGACTTACGTGAATTAGTTCTGGCTGCGTTCAAAATGAACAGCAAGCCTAAGGCCACGAAGTTGCCCGGCAACATCGTGGGGGTGTGGGAAGTGACCTCAGGGTAGGAATAAACCCTGGAACTCCGTCGGATGTGGAGGCGTGGGAAAAAAAAAAATTAATATAACTCGACGGATAATTCCGGAGAAAAGACAATAATGGATGAATTTAGGTACGCGCAACTTTTGTGTTGTGCCCGTGTGTGAGCTGCTAGATGCAACTAGCGGTGCTTTCCGCCTGCTGGAAAGCAGGGGCAACGCGGAACCAGGAAGCAAAGGTTTAGCACGTTCATACCCTTAGTTGGGCTTATTCTATTTGTTATTAAAAATTAAATGAGGGATAAACGTTGAGTGTGCGCACATCAAAAACCTACATTGTGCATTGACCAATGGCCTGTGGTCCCGTGCCAGGCCGAGTTTCCGCATCGCCTCCCTGTCCCCTGCCCCCTCAATTTTTAGTTCCTTTTCTTCCCCTTAAAAAACAAAAATTTGACATTTTTTAGTACTTAACTAGAATATCATCAGATATACATCACTGTATCGGCCAACGGCCACCCGCCCCTTATTGCTGAGGTGACCTCGCGCGGGTCGCCGCGTCATTCCGCCCCATAGATGCTTTTCCTGAATTCTCACCCATCAGCTTGACTTTTCATCAAACGAACAGTCAAATAGGTAGTTTTAAGCTCGACATACCTGTTTTTACTGGGATTGTGCATCCTCCCGTTGCATACACGGAAAGTGCAGTATCGTGAGGCGCACGAGATGTATGTCTGCTTTATTGCTGCAATGAAACGAAATGTCTCGATAATTACATTACATAGAAGTCTTTTCTTTCAGTTCAGAATGCATGATGCCCTTCCTTCGATAGCTTGTTCTTTCGTTCGAAGAGCAGGGAAGCAGAGAACTCCCTCTCTAGAAGAGAAAGGGTTGGTACATTTTCTCTAGCCCATTCTAGCTGCCTTTACTCTGCCCTTCACAAAGTACATTCACCCTCTATGGGGAAGGCAACTAAACTCCCTCAATAACAACGTGTTGAGGGCTGTTGTCGCCAAGCAGCGCCAAGAGCTGGGCAGGACGGGAAGCAATGCTCGATGCAGAAACACACAGCTTCACTGTACTTCTCAGGTCAAAACAGGCCTATTCGAACATTTGCCAATGCTTCCCGTACAATCCAAGCTGTTGAAATGCTGAACACAACCGTCACTGGTGGCTGGGGAGGAAGTCGATCTCTGCTCTCCCGCACTCTTCAGAAGAACGAAGAGTGCGTGAAAGGGTCAAAACGTCAGCACGTTGTGAGCTACTGGTTGTAATAGTTCTAGATTTCGGAGTTCTATTGTCCGGCCTTCAAGCGCATTGCGCCTGTGGAGACGCAGTTGACTCCTTGACTTTTCACATGCGGACTATGAAAACTAGAGTTACCACATCAGACGATGCGTGCGTAATCGTCGTCGACGAAACAGTTGGAACTCTTTTTTCGAGAATTACGGCAGCTGCTACTGCTTTCTGTCCTTGAATACCTTACCCATAAACATTTACCTCGTGCCATGAGGTACCGGAGAAATCTTGCGAATACGCACACTTAGGACTTGACTTCATGCTCTGTCAAAGCAACAGCATCGATAATGAACCCAGCTGGAGGGTTAATTCTAGTTCGTTGGGGAAGATGGGCTTGCCTAGAAATCCCAGGCAGCTTCGACTGAGCAACATAAACGTACCACTGCATTTTCCCACAGGCGTTTCGGGCGATGAAAGCTTGGTAGACTGTTTCGCATGGACAACACACCTAACAACTGTTTCTCCCATCATTACTGGAGCCCATAATCCTTGAGCGACAACAGATGAAGGCTAGATACTATGAGCAGAAGTCTGCCTACGCTTGTGATGTGATAGGGCGATTCCGTAAAGTGGGAGAAATGCGCACAACTGAACCATGTGCAGGGCCTCTGCAAACATACACACTAATACAGCGTAGCGGTCCAGAAGAAGGCGGCCACGTTCCGATGTGCGAGCTTGCCAAACCTCGCAACTGTTCTCCCACTCAGTACCGTACTTAGAAATGCTTATCAAATTGCGATAGTTCTTGGCCTCTGGACTCAGAGGTAAGTGTGCACCTGCCAGCAACTTGTAATGTCAGTTTTACAGACTCGTGCACTTTGTGGGCTACCGGAAGAATGTAATTTGGGGTGAAAAACACGTTACTTGAGCTGCAACTTGTGGCTAGCCACACGCAGCCAACTGGCAGGAAGTTGGGACCAGCGGATCCCCGTATGAATGAGAAAACATATTTGCTTCCTTCAGCACGTCCTGGAGTTCACGAATGGGGTAAAGCTCCTCTTATAGTTCACGAGGCAGCATCGCCCTCCTTTGCACCGCCTGACACGACGCCAGCTGGAAGGAACCGCCGATGTCCTGCTTCGCCGAATCGACGGGGATTTCACGCCTAGAGGCGTTCTGCTGAGGCGATGACAGCTGCGCGCCATGCCATAGAGAATATCTTTTGACGGATGTTCTGGCTATTCTTTCTTCTTTTCGCACTTCAGCTTGCAGGTTCCTGAACTCGTCCAGTGTATGCGTTCGTAAGTATACCGCCTTCTGCTTCTTGTAATTCCTCTTCACAGACTTTAGGTACCCCCTAGTCAAACTTTTAGGAAGCCTATTTGGTGGCTTCTGTGCAACTGCATCTGCAGTCTCGGTAGTATCGCCGCTGTAGCTGCTCATCCTCTGCTGTCCGACGCTGCAATTACCAACCGACTGACCTGAAAGCTCTCCAGTCCTGAAAGACACCATTTTACCATACGGAAAGTCAGAGTTCAGCGACTTGCTTTCACCTTGGGTCGTGGTCTCTAAAACGGAACTTCAGCCGGACACAGTTTCAGCCGGGGAGCTGGCGCCGCGCGGCCTGCAGGGAGAGGCAGATGCGCAGCTGCAAATCCGGAGTGACAATGGAAAAGGAGATAAAAGCATAGCCTCGAAGGAGTCTTGGAGATATGGTACTTCGAATTGCCTGAATGTCACGATAAAACACTGCCGTGCTCCGCCCTCCTAGCGTCGTGGCATCCGCAGTCGACCCAGTGGACCATCCCCGGCGACCACCTGAGTGTGAATTGAACCTCAGTTGACCAGCAAGCAATTAGAGCTATCTCACCTTTAACTCTCATGCTTATCTCTATTTCCCCAATTTCCAATTTGAGAAACTGGATTCATTCTTCTGGGGTAGTTTCCTCGGACAGCGTACGGAAAAGATGCAATGCAGCTAGAAGATGCGTTCCGTCGGGAAATTTCAGGCGTTAAGCGGGTCGAGCGGTTTCATCGCAAAGGTATCCATCAGTGTAGCAGTACGAATGAACGCTAGAGGCACGTTTACCAGTCCATAGAGTCGTGGGCGTACGGCAGAGCTGGAGACTAGTTGATGGAACGCATACGCATTGTAAGGAGTCCCGGTGTTAGGTGCTTCAGGTCCTTGTGTGCGAGCTAGAATACTCTCCTTGGAATTGTCTGTTTCTTAAAAAGTTCTCCTCTAGTGAATAAACTCATCTTCCTCCTTCTCGAGGGTCGCTGTATGCTGCGAAGTGTGCTCGCGCCGCAAATCCGCAGCTCGAACGCCGTAACGCTTGTGTGCCTAGAACCCCGTTTTAATAACTCAAGTAGGGATTTATATTACTCCGTAACTTGAATATGGTAGAATTTCAAGTTACTATTGCCTGCCCCCCAGCTTCGCACCGTGTGGTAATGCTCAGGCTTCGTACCTGCGGCTGCACTGTGTGCAAGCGATGTTGCAGCTCTCCTGCTGAGCCTTCCCTCCCGTTCAGCATTCCCCTGATTATTTCTTCTTCTCTCTCCCTCCTGAGCTAGATACCAACTTCTTCCAGAGGGGCTTCCTTACGCGAATGGTTTCCAACTCTACCGACAGCTGAGTGAGATCTTTGGTTGCCCTTGGCAGCCTTTAACCGCACTGATAGTTGTCGACTTAGTTAGCTTCCCAAACTTTGAAACGGAATATCAACTGCAAAGCTTGCTCTCTTCTGCCGTTAGCTTAAGCCACCAAGTTTTGATCGCGTTGTAGCTTGATCGTAAGCCTTGCCACTTCAGTTGTCCTTTCTTACAACAAACTTTCCATGATGAATATGTCCAGTTAATATGCAGAGTGTAGGTGGCCATAAAGTAGCTCAGCTGGGCTGCCTTTTGGCTTCTGTAACCCACTGCACTGGAGCAGTCGAGGGGGTAGCGACGTACATGGCTCCAATAAAAGGAAAATTAGATTCCTCCAAAATGCTGCTAGAGAGCGGGCGAAGGGCCTTTGAAAGCTGTGACTGGTGCTGCTGCGAGTCCTTAGAAGTGCACTAACTCATTTGGTCCCTTCATGCGGGCATCGTCAACGAAAAAACTGCTCGGTTGCATCTCCTCGCTTTAATTATACGCATCAGTGCTGCTTCGTAACCAATAAACTGGCGCCAGAAATATCTGACCATTAAAACAAGCTTGCACAGAGTTAACTTGAGACTAATCTGCAGAGCCATCAGCCACCTTTTTCCGCCCCATCACTGTCGCGCCCGCTGCTTTAGGGAACAGGCATTTCCCTGGTTACTTTGTTGGTTCTCCCAGAGCGGCCGCTCGAAGTTGTGCTCCTTTCTTTCCTTTGCTCATTTCATGCGTCTGTAACCTCAACTTTTGCTGCCTTCGTTGAAGAAAATGAGGTAGATGCGCATTCCTCTGAGTTCCGCCGGTTTCTGTGTCCAATGTTCGCTGGATGCTGTCTATTTCTGCTTCTTCTCTTTTCCTGGCCAAAGCGACCATCTACAGCCCCAGTATGCACACCTTTTCTGCAGAGAGCATTTCGAAAACCGTTTACTTCCCCGTCAGCTTGACAGGCGGAAATGCCGATTCTCCTATCTTTTTTTTGCGCTCTTGGCTTGAGCCGTCCAATAGCTCGCCTAGTCGTACCCTGTCACAACTTTGTTATTTTTCCGGAGCCCAAGCGGTTGCCGGTAGCCTCTTCGCTAAGGAATGCCCTGGTGTGAGCCATTGATATAAACGTGTCTAGCTTTGGACTTCTGTTCACTAAGGACTTATACTTTCTCACTACATCGCTCTATGCAGGGCTTCCCCTGTTTTTGTTTTCTCAATCCTGCCATTGCATATTTCCTAGCCTACCGGGAGATTAACGAACATCAAAGTGCATCTGCTGATGCTTCCATACTACATGTGCTTTCCTGGAAAAGTGGTGCACTTGCTTACTTACACATACTGCCCATATTCGTGCCGTCTCTTCCAATAGGAACTGTGGGCCTTCGGATGTGCTATGAAGACGAATTTACACTCCGAGAGAAGGAAGGAATTCCTCCACTTCCCTGACGCCGTGGCGCCCATCATATCTTGACGGTCAGATGAAAATTGTCAAAAAGCAACTGACATCTGAGCCCAGTTTCTAGGCGTCCTGGGCACAGCAGCCCAAGAACAAGCACGCTATCACGTTCTGCATCGCAGCTTGCTGAAACGATTGGAGGGCAACTCCAAATGCAAGCGGAAGCAACCCCCGTTTTCGTTTCATACACTAACACGGTAACCAACCGCTAAACGCCTATGTGGACATCAGTAGCCAGCATGCACGCGTAGAAATGTTGTCCGCGCCTTCAGACACAGACTTATACATCCGGCCCATGTGCCACTGTGCGCAGTACGACTAAAGAGTGGAGGGGTGGTCAGCTGTTTTGGGGGAAGTTCTTTTGACCCCATTGTAGCTCACGTCGATCCTCGGTTATGGTTGAGGAGACTAGTAACAGCTGCGACTCCGGCTGCAAGGCAACCCCACTGGCAAGCAAGGCCAACCCCCCATTCGGTGAAGCCCTGACACTGTAAGCAATTGTTAAGCGTTTAATAAGCCTTCAGTAACCATCGTTCACACAAGTAGAAATATAGCTTCGCCACGCCACATACGCAGTGCAAATATGTGGAATCAATCACCAGACCCTAGTCTGACGTGTTGAGTACGGGCCTCTGTGCCTCGGATATCCCAGCAGCTCTTACATAAAAGAACGTGAAATACAGCATATAATTTGATAATCTATATCTACAAGGAGAAAGACGATTGTTTTTGTCGTAATAGGGCTTGTAGCCCCGTCTTTGGTTTCGTGCATGCGTGTGTAATTCTCGATCGGCTTCTGTCAAATGTAGCAGCCCCGAATAGCGACTTGAAGAATTATAACTTTAATATTATTAATTTATCCTTTTATACTCCATCTATATCGTACAGCGGTACAGAGAGGCAGTCTTGCCCCCCGACACGATGCGGGTCCACCCAACTTTACTGCGTCGGGCGTTCACGCCCGGCGCCGTTCTGAATTCTCGTGGTTCTCCCAAGTTTCAACAGGTGACCCTTGGAAGTTATCCGGTTCCCCCAGAACAAGAGCTGCTATGGAAGAACCGCATGAAGGCGTATGGAGGCTACATCCAACAAACGATCTCTCCGTTCCAGATGAAGATCATTTGGCCATTCTGGCACACTTTCCCCGCCAGGTGCTGAATCCTAGTAATCTTCATTGAGCTTGTTCCGTTTTCAATACGCGAAAGTTGTCATTGGTATAGGCTATCTACAGGAGAAGATGAATGCTGTCCACCGTAGCAGGCAACATAGTCTACGGGATGTGCCTGCTGGTACTAACGGCTTCTATATCGATGCTGTCGTATTCACGTTCCTTCAGTTTGCCACTCCACGGGTATCACGCGTAATTTTTAATTGTGTGAAATGCTGCTGAGGTGCGCGAGAAAGCGAACCAACCCCCCCCGTCGAACCCTTCTTGTGTGCCTTTGTTTGCACGTGCAGAACGTGGGCAAAATTTAGCGCATACTACTGGTGGTGGGTGTGGCCTGGCATTGTAACTTACGGCATCATAAAGAAGATGTTCCACGACGCTGAAAGTGAAGTACGAAACAAGTACTGGTGAGTCACAGGAAAGCACTGTACGCGGCAACTAGCATGTGCACTATATAGGGATTCCTTGCTGGGGTAGTGCCTCTACGAAGACTAGCTCGTATATTTAATGTCGTGTTTCTTTCTGTTCAGGTACTAACGATTTGAATTCACTGTTTCAAGGTCAACGATACTACGTCCCTGCTACACTGCACCACCTCTGCAACCTCTTCTAGTGTTTTTTTCCTTTCGTCGCAATGCGACTTCTAGCCAACCAACCAACCCTCTGGGGTACAGCATCCTCAACTGTCGTCTTATTCAACATAAATTACTTATAAATTACTACATGGGGGGGAATAACGATTTCCCCGTTTTGAAAACTGAAGAAGGCTGTTGGACAGAAAAATGAAGTTGCATTAGATGAGGCGTGGAGGAAAGCAGACGAGTTGAAAGCCTAGCCAGAGCTCCAAGCTGCCTTTCACCGTAGCTCAAATAGAAATACAAAAGTGACGTGATTTCGTTTTATATACAGGACACTGGACTTGCAGCTCTTAGAATCCTGCACCATATCCATAGAAATCGAGCATCATGTCACTCCAGTCTTCTCTACCTGCTGCGAACCAACCAACTAGGCGCATCGACCTGCCCCCACACGGACCGCTTCGCCTTCTCACTGCGCCTTTTCATGTTGTCCAGGGCACTTTAAATAAATAGCAGCAAAATGTAACAGAGCCGGGGAGCAACTGCTGCGTAGACGCCTAGCTTGGCGCTTGAGTGACAGCGCATACTCTTCCCCAGACAATGAATGCTGTATTGCCGCGAAAGAAGCTTTTCTTATTGGCTGGTCTGGAACAACTTTCAGCTCCGTGCATGCTCTGCACAGAATGAACTATACCCCCTTGGATTCCTGAATATGAGGAAAGGAGAAACTGCATCGCCTTCCCATTGTACTATCCTAAGGACGAAGAAGTGCGCGAAGCTATCCACCGCTAAACATTTACATGGGCCGACTGGCAGCCTCCAACTGTACTTCATTGCCATCCTCTGCGGCCACGGCCACCCCGGACGCTGGCTCCCCTTCTACTAGGATGTCGTCAGGTATATGTGCATACCGCACGCGTCTTCTCTGTGCCTCTCTTTTTCTCGCTCGTTGCACGGCGTGCGCCAGCATGACAAGTCCAACAGCAAGCAGAGCTACACCGATGTGGAGGTACATTTCCTGGGTCTTCTTTGCAATGAGCCCAGGCACCTCATTCACCAGCTGCCCAGCTAGCTCCGCAATGTCTAGATACTTGCCATCAATAGGAACTCTTGCTCCAGAATAGACATCTTTAAGCGCTTGGTATTGCGCACCTAACACAAATTGAGCGAATCAGCACATCATCGTGAATATCGCTATCAGATTGCAGAACGCAGCAACGAACAGATGCACAGAAACCTGCACTAAAGGGTAGGCAGCCTGTCCAACGGCGAAGGTTCCCGTGAGCACTCAGCAGTGCACAGTACAAGGGTGACTGAACTGCGGATATGCTTGGAGCCACCACACTAACAAAGAACAGAACCCCTCATATAAGCTTACGGTATAGGCGAGGTAACGTGACGTAGTTCGCAACGGGCAACACAAGAGAAGCATCTCTGACCATCATGAACGAATCCTTTGAACTCGCTGTGACGACAAAGCCCAACTCGGATGCAAGACCGACGAAGCCGGCATCGTCGATCGGCACGGCCTTCAGCACTATTTCTTTTAAACCCTTATCATCAACGCGACTTAACGCCTCCGTTAGCAGCAACGCCCCTACAAGGGTCAAAGCGCCACACATGGCAACGCAAACAACACAGCAACCATGTTTCTTCCATGACGAAATGCAGATACACACGTACACTAGGACCAACCGAAACTCTTTTTCATACACCCGCCCCGCTCTCTCGCACCTCGTAACAACTGGCTTATCTACGCACTTTCCAGCTAAACGGCTCTTCGGTGAGCTGTCTAAGCAATGGCATATTTCCCCCTGCAGAGGAAATAGCTTACGAATATAATCTTCGTGCAAGCCAGCGCCTCCTAAGAAATCGATCGTGCATATATTCTCATCACTTATATGTCCCTTTAAAACGCCGAAAACCGTTTTGCTTGAGTTGCCGACAGCTGCGGAGAACACCGTCACCACACAAACTTGAATCTCGTACAAACGCTAAAGTTGAAGGTTTAATTAAACATAACAAGAATGAAGTTCCCTTCTAGGAGGACGGGGGTACATGGAGGCTCACCGGCTAAGCTAAAGCTGCCGGCGTTCTGCACATTTACAATGCCTGCACGTTGCGGGTCCAGTTTAGCTTTCTCGCGGACAAACTTGGCTGCGCGATATTGTTCTTGAGATGCAAGCTCTGAAACTTCTTTCACGTCAACGCGCTCGAACACTTCAGCCTCCGTAACTGCGGAAAAAATCAAGCAAAGGAAGAACAAAGTAATTGCAGTAAAGTCCAGAAACAGGTGACTACATTGGATGCTTCGTCTAAAGTTTGCTATATTTCTCGTGATTTCATTCAGAGTGGAATCACTGCCGGCCTCACTTGAAAGGTAATCTAGCCACTCCCGTCCTTCGCCCAAGCTGTACGCCATGACGTACACCCGTCCCGCTGCACGAAAAAGCAAAGTTATTCAGCAACACCCTAACCATATACATACAACTTCTTAAGAAATATATCTGCAGATGCACAGGTCTAACGGAAGTACAAAGTAGCAGCACATCCAATTGCAGCGGAATTGTGGCTGCGTGAGTGGTCAAGCGACGTCTTTATCCGTTCGTGTGTCTATAGGTGTAAGAAATGCTCTATTCACATAAATATAGAAGCATAACACAACACAGTAAGCAAACATTTCAAAGGGAAAGACGAAGAAGAATACACAAGCAAGGAGTATACTCACCCATCTGTTGGAGTTGCGTATTTCGGTGTTCTTCATAGGTTCCTAGATACGGTAGATCCATGGCCCAAAGATATTTCCCCATTCCATCTCCGCTTGAATCTCGAGAATATTTCTTGAGAGAGAATCCAACATTTGCCAGCACATATGTAAGCAGATGATCCTTAGGAGAAGTAACCACATTCAGGTACTCCATCCTGCTGGTAGCCTGTGGATTCAGCATCTCCTTAAGGAGTGCCTCTACTGCAGGCAGCAAAAATAAAAAAGAAGCAAACTATATGAGACCGTCGGCTAAATAAATACATGAAATGCTTGAAAAAAACTACGACAAACAAGGCCTGCTGCTGTGCCCTGCTACTCACGCGCTCTCGCTCTGTCTATGGTCTCTGGATGCATCCAGAACCGCTGATAGGTAAGCGAACCCTTCTCGAGGTCGTGCACAGCGAGACAAGAACATACAACCCTTTGGTTTTCAAATACAAGTATGGGCCAGGCACTTTTATCTCCGTTGCTGTTCAGCTCCTCTATATACTTAATCTCCTCCACAATACGTTCTGGGGGAATTCCAACGGATAACCCTCCTGCATCCTCCACCATAGACATGAACTGCGTTCCTGTCACTGCTGAGTAAGTGGGATGACTCAGCTCGACGACTGGATCTCGTTGGCCCGATATTTCTTTCACTTCTCCTTGTGGTTTCACTTCATTGTCGCCCACTTGCTCGTCTTGCCGCTCGGTTCCTTCAGATTTCTTACTCAGATTTCCGTCATCTTTTAAGTCACGCTCTTCTGCTGCGCTTGGCTCTGATGGGTGCTCAGTTGCCTCAACGGCTGGGGATGTCTGCTCTACACCGATGGGGTCCACGCCCCCCTCTGCATGCTCAGTATCAGAGGCATTTCCATCGCGAACGAGGATGAGTAGAACCACAAGCCAAGCAATCCGCCAAAACCTACCGCAGTAATGCCTTTCTGTTCGGTGGCTCGGCGCCATCACTTCTCCAACTGCAGCGCACGCCGAACCTCGTCGCTCTTCTCCACCCTTTCCTCCAGGTAAAAGGGTTAACGTAAGGGGTAACTTGTAGGCTTTAATAATACTGCAATTGCCAGAGGACTAAAAAAAAGCAAATGCTGAACAAAACGAGCCGGTATAGTGGCTACTGGAGCCTGGTGAGGTTTTTCATACAACCCAGGCTCAAGAAGCCCCAATACCCTTCAAATCAAAAGACTAGACAGGAAAGAAAAAGGGTAAATATATTAATAAAGAAATGAAGCAATCGCTACAACGATGAGGTGAACATCCTCGGCGTTGGAGAGAGGAATCCAGAGAGGGTCTCCGGCGAAATTCCTTTTCACTTTTCTGTTATTTTTCAGTTTTTTCCGCTTAATCAATCAATAAATCTTATTGAATTTGGAAAAACAACAAAGTAATTGCCCTTCTCACCCTACTTTTATACAGACGAGCTACAACAGCTTCCCAGTAAGTAACAGCGCGCGCTGGCGGGGGATCGAGTTCAGGTGTTCGTTGGCAGCAGTTGAGGAAACCTGCACCAAAACAGATCATATAGGAGAACGAACTTCTATCACACGTAAATTTTATTGAATACTATTGCTTTTTAGAGCATTCATCATCGTCGCAGCGTAGAGTCCTAGGAGTTTTACTTGTTACTGCAGCTATGGAGCCAATTCACAATGTATAGGACCCACAGAGGCTTTGTTCAGGTTTATTCATAAACAATAACCTAAATCAAACAAAAACATTCTTCATACTTTAAATTCATTATTACTCCAACTCTAAGCTCCCTCTGCCTCGTAATATAATTGTAGTCTGTCTCGGGTTAGTATATGTTTATTCTTACTTGCATGCAGCCTGGGTATTGAGTGTTATGTTAGCCCTCGTTCTTATATAAAGTATTTAACTCCGTTACACCTCATAGCCATCCTACACCGACCCTCAGCTACGCGGCTCTTTGAAACACTTGCATAGACTGGCACGGCTCTCTTTCTTGCGTGTATGCACGTAGTATATATATTTCCCTTCTGCATACTCGCCAGCTCAGCTTGACCCTTTTGTCTTTCACCTTATTTCACTTCTCTTTCCCCTAAGGTATTATTACTGACGAACATAATCCCGCCCCGAATAGCTGATCTGCACTCGTCTTTAGTGTAGGTGAGTGAAGTAAAGCTCTCGCCCACAGAAACTTGAATCTGCTTACAGCTTTCTTATTGCTTTCCTTTGTTTTTCTTTTCTATTAAAATACTTGAATTTCTATTTGTTGAAGAAGCCGTCGTAAACAAAGGGTCTCGTCTCGATTTCGTATTCGTTTCGAGTTGTACAAATATTAGGATTTTCAGATCCAGCAACGGGGTTAGCATCCGCAGGCGTTTGTTTTTTTATTAGAGGCCAAACGAAAGATTAAATACCCTTGTTGAAGTAAAAGTATATCTGAATCCCATTCAGCTGTGCAGCTATCGCGGGTTTTATTTTCTATAGGATGCTGAGTACCCGCCCCATACATCAATGCAGGTTCAAGGAGCGGGGGATACAAACGCAAGTCTTCAGGCTAGAGCTTTACTCCAGTACCTTCAGACTAACTAATAAACTTCATTTCGATAGAACAGAAAGCAGAGTCAACTGGGTAGCTACCGCTAGCTCTTCACTCGTTCGTACTGCTGGGGTCCACCATGGCCCCGTCGCCACGGTGTAAGATGTTGTATACAAAAACTTTCTATAGGTATTTATTTCATCACTAGAGATGCTAGCTGCTGAACTCGTTGCCTTTTGAACCCCGAAACCCCACTCGCTGCTGAAGAACCCTAAACCCTAAACACTGAACAACCCTAAACCCTGAACGACCCTAAACCCTAAACCCTAAACCCTATTTCAACTTGACCCCCCGTTGCAGACTCTAAGCAGATGTTTGGATAGCGGATGCAGAACAGCATGAGCAAAGGGGAGATGCGGCGCAGCTAGTGGGTGCAGTTTCTCTGCGTTGTATGAGCATCGAGACAGCCCGTGAAAGCGGCTGAGATGCAGCATACTTGCTGATGAAGACGCTGCGTATCTTCTGAAAAAGACGCTGCGTGCTGTGTGCTCTCAACTCTTACTGCTGCCTATTCACAGGATACAAGCAGCTCATCACTCGCCGCTTCATCGCTGGGCTCGGCCTTGCCTTTGAAGGCCAAACCCTAGACGGCTGCTAGCAACACTGCTGCTCCTGCAGAAGAAGCTTTTGCTGTTGCTGCTGCTGCAGCTGCTGCAGCTGCTGCAGCTGTTGCTGCAGCATCTGCATGAGATGCTGCAGCAGTGTTTCCTTTAAACAACTGATAAGCGGCCGAGGCGCGCGTTGTCCCCGCAGCCAGGCGCATACAAAACCTTCTTATTGGGCCTCTGGGGGGGGGGGGGGGGGGGGNGGGGGGGGGGGGGGGGGGGCAGCTAGCTGTGTGTTCGCCAAGCGACCTACACAGCTATCTAGCTATGTAGCTAGCCAGCTAGCTAGCTGGGAGTGCACCTGCCTAGGTGTCTAGATATGCCAGGCAGCTGTTTCCTGTTCAGCTAGCTAAGCGGCTACAACCCCAGCTAGCCAAGTAGCTAGCTGGGTAGCTAGCTAGCTAGCTGTCGAGTGTGGTAGAGGCGGCAAACGCCACATCTTCAGAGCACCCTCAGAACCACAAGAAATGAAAACCCCTTCGGCGGGGAATACGAAGACACGCTGCACGGCCATGGTGTGAGCTCGCAGCAGCAGCAGACATTCTGCGTTTGCTGCTATTCTTTCCTGCAGCAGATAAGCTAAGTGGTCCCCAATGCATCCAGACTGCTGCTGCAGCAGCTGCTGCTGCTCCTGCTGCTGCAGCTCCTGCTGCAGCTGCTGCAGCAGCAAATGCTGCTCCTGCGGATGCTGTCGATGGCTTAGCAACGAAGACAGACGAGCGCCTCGAGGGGGAATCAGACGGTTGCTGCCCTGAAGACTCATCCTAGCCCACAGCGCTCCCTCCTCCCCCTGCTGCTGCTGCTGCTGTCGCTGCTGCTGCTGCTGCTGCTGCTGCTGCTGCTGGGGTGAGGCAGTAATGGAGGGGTATGCAGCAATGGGCTGCCGCTCCGAAGGCAGTCTTGTTGCTGCTGCAGCAATGCCTGCATCACTTGCTGCTGCAGCAGCAGCAACAGCAGCGTTTGCTGCTGCTATTCGCTGCATGTTGGGCAGCAGAGCATCCAGCAGCAGCAGCAGCAACGCCCCTTCTCCCCCCCCCACAATTAAAATTCCTCTCTCGCGCCAGAGGACGAGAGAAGAGACAGACTCAGCTAGACAGGCAACCCTCGTCACCAGCACTACGCTTGCTGCCACGGCACCCTCATCTGCTGCATCTTCTGCTGCTGCACTGCTGCTGCTGCTGCTGCTGCTGCTGCTGCTGATGCTGTAGAGCAAGACGGAGACGACCCCTTGCTTGCTGCAGCTGCCCAGCAGCAGCAGCTGCCGCTCCTCATCCACGCAGACGCTCCTTATCGAGGTGACCCCAGAATAAAAAGTGCAGAGGCTGCTGCCTCCCACGTTGCTGCCAGCGAGACTCCACATGTGCTGCTGCTGCTGCTGCTGCTGTTGCTGCTGCTGCTGCTGTTGCTGCTGCAGTGCAAGCAGCTGCTGCTGCGTTGAGCCGCCATTTCGCACGCCGGAACTATGAAAATCACTCCTCCATACAAACCTCTCGGAAGGGGCTGATGTACGCGTCTGCAGCTGTTGCTGCTGCTGCTGCTGCTGCTGCTGTTGTTGCTGCTGCCGTTGCTGCTGCTGCTGCTGTTTGCCTCTTAAGGCAATTATGGGGGGGTAGAGCGGAGCTGCATGCGACGGCGGTTCTCCTGGAGCTACGCACAGCAGCACTACGAGCTGATACCCGGGAACGCTGCTGCTGCTGCTGCTGCTGCTGCTGTTGCTGCTGCTGCTGTTGCTGCTGCTGCTGTCGTTGATGTTGCTTCTGGCAGCTTGGAGCTGCAACATTCTTATGCTGCCACTGCGGTGGCAGCAGAAGAACAGCAAACGGCCCTCATCAGCAGCAACAGCAGCAACGGGATCAGAGAGAGAGAGGAGGCCCCCCTTATGGACGAGAAAAGAAGCAACAGCTCTGGCGGTGGCCGCATGCAGCAGCAGCAGACTGCCGCTTCTTCCTGCTGCCACCAAAAACGGCTCCTTCACCCCGTTCCCGCTGCAGCTGCTGCTGCTGCTGCTACTGCTGCTGCTGCTGCTGCTGCTGCTGCTGCTGGGGTCTTGCTGCCTGCTAAGAGGCAGCAAAAGAGATACCACAGAGAGGACGTCTACGGGCTCCTCCCGAAGGAATTTTATTGAGCGGGGAAGGGCCAGGCTAGTAAGCTGCTGCAGCTGGTGCTCTGTTGCTGCTGCTACTGCTGCTGCTGCTGCTTTGCTGCTGCTGCTGCTGCTGCTGCAGTCGCGCTGCCCGTGACTCCCAACTAAAGGAACGGATACACCAGGAAAGGCGCGTCTGAATCTGCTGCTGCTGCGTCCGTGCTGCTTGGAGTTGCTGCTGCTG